AGACTGCTGTCCCAATGGTACATGCTAAGCAGAATACCACTAAATCCATTAAAATAAATTTATTAAAGGACTGGATAAAAAAACATGGTACATATACACAATGGACTATTACACAGCCATAAAGAAAGACAAAATCATGAACTTCACAGCAACTTGAATGGACTTAGAGTCTATAATACTGAGTTATCTATTACAGAAACAAAGAACAGAGTACCATATGCTCTCACTCATAAGTGGACCTTGAACAATTATCATAATACTATAAGAAAAGGATTGGCAGTAGTGGGAATCTACCGGGGGAAGGCACACCTCATCAACAAGGGTACCTGCATAATGAACATTTGTATAGCTAACCCTGAATTGTACCCTACATCTTTAAACTAAAAATTTATTTTAAAAAATGAATTTATTGCTATGTATACATCCACTTTAATAAACAATATCATTCAAGTGCTTTAAATTCTTCTCACTGTGTCTTTAGGATTTAGTGGATAAGGTAGGGAGAAGGCTCATATAAATTTCAAATCCCAAAATAATGGGGATGAAATTATACCAGATAATGGAATACATACAAGGAATGTAATACTAAAATACAATAATCTGAAGAAAAAAAACATCAGTACCCCAATTTCTTTGGACCATATACAATAAATGTAGAACAGGCTGTTATACATTTTCCTTATCAACTCTTTTTTTTTTTTTTTGAGTCAAAGTCTCACTCTGTTGCCCAGAATGGAATGCAGTGGCACACTCATGGCCACCACAGCCTCGACCTATTGGACTCAGGTGATCCTTCCTTCCGCCTCAGCCTTCCAAGTAGCTGGAACTACAGGCATGCGCTACCATAACCGGTTTTTTTTTTTTTTAATTTATTGTAGAAACGAGGTCTCGCCAAGTTACCCAAGCTGATCTCAAACCCTTGGGCTCAGGCAATCCTCTTGCCTCGGCCTCCCAAAGTGCTGGGATTACAGGCTTAAGTCACCGCACCCGGCCCCTTATCAACTCTTAAAAATAGTCTAGGGACTGTGGAGTAGAAAAACCATAGTGTATTTATTGCTTTCTTACTAATATCCTGCAGATTATATCACTCTCATTCTGTGCTATAGATAATGCTTTTGCAAACAGAAATTCTGGGCAAGACCATAATTTATATAGACATTTTATTATTTTTACATATTTTTTTAAAAGACAGAGAATGAGAATCTAGACATGTTTGGTCACAGTAGAATGAGAGTAAGTTAATAGGAAAGCTGGCTTAAAATCATTCCTGTCAAGGAAGGGGATCCTGAGGGAAAGAAATTACTTTTGACTCAAGCCGAGCAGTAAGTAAATCCTCTATTTTTTAAGCAAGCCGATGAAGTGACAATTCTGAGAACCAGCCCCTAAATATGTACCTTCAGGGATGACCACCCAATTAATTTCATTCTTACTGACATTTCCCACCGCCTTAGAAACTTCTTAATGCACATTAGTGCAGCTGAAATGGATTCCATGAGAATGAAAGATAAAGGGTATTTATCTCCTATACCCACAAAGAAGCAAAATGTTATTTCAGGGCTTTGTGAAAATATAATCATGATGTGCTGTTCAAAGTAAACTAGTGTAGTGGAGCTACTCAAAAATCATTCCCACTCGATTAACTCATGGATTTACAGACCTAAAAGATGTCAATTAAAGTCAATGAGTATCAGGAAGCTAAAATTCCCTATAATGCCTGAAAAGAGCCAGTCAAATGTTTCTTTAAAAAAAAAAAAAAGGAAAGAAATGGACTCATATCACTTTACCATGCAAAAAGGACCCTAAATTTCTTAATGTTGTTTCCCTGAAATGGACATAGTCTGAGAAAGAAGAATGACAAGCATTGCCCTAATTTTCATTTCTGGAGAACTTTCCCCAAACATTAGCCAGTTTAATACTCTTGTGAAAGAGGTATTGGTTTTTCATTGACAGAGAAGAAAACTATACAAATCACAGTTGGCCTAAGCCTACAAAATCAGCCAGCATTTTTCCAAGGCATAAATATTGGAAATAGTTAAGACCACTAAAATCTGACAGCTCCCATCAGTTTCTTAGGATGATGTTAAAGATTATATATTTAGGAGTTTGCTTGTTTTTTTAAAAAAACAGGATTTATTGAGAGAACAGAAAAGCTCCCACAGTGGGAGGGGACCCAAGGGGGTTGCCCTATATTTAGGAGTTTTTCAATTACCAACCCTGACCTTGCTAGATATCCAAATGAATAACAACATTTTGAAGTTGAAAAATTAGACCAGCCACATTGCCAATATGGGGAAGCCCCTGAGAAGATCCTGAAAATTCACAAAAATACTGGTGAAAGCCTTGAATTTTCCACAGGTTTTCTTTTTAAGAGTTTGAAGTGACCTGTAGTAAATATTAAAGGGCAGGATGATTTACATAGACTTGTGACCGCCATAATACATGTAGATGATCATGGAGATATCGGAAATTATTTGCTGAAGTCATTGGATGACTCATCAAATTCGAGATGCCAAAATTTAAAACTTCTATTAAATAATTTAATAGAGAATTAAACAGGATAAAAGATAATGTGATGAGAAGAGATAAGCAAAGATAGTGGAGCAGATGGCTTTACACTACTCACTAGCATTTCCAAAGAAGTTCTAAGGCCTTCTGATTTCTTCCTTTGTGCTTTTGATTGGAGTCAAAGAGAGGTAGGGGAGTGATTCAGCCTTAGGTCTACTCCTTAAAGTCAATAACTTACAATGAACTTTGTAGGTGCATATTATAGGAAGGTTTGAAGTGCAGAGAGCAAGGATGGTCAGATGGGAATAAAGAGGGAAAGGTGATAATCAAAGCTTAAGCCAAGGGAAGATACAGGGACCTAGAGTTTCTAGAAGCTAGGACAGAGCAGAGGGTTGAAAGGGTGAAGAAGAAGATACCCAGAAAGCACGAAAAGAGTCAGTCAGAGATCTGATCAGAATCTTAGTTAAGGTTAAAAAGTGGGCCATGATTTTTTTTAAAACAGTGCATGGAAGCCATGCTTCTAAGTATGATGGCATGAAAAGGTTGACTACCCTTTCCACAAAAATCAAGTATAAAACTGGACAAAAATTGTCAACAAACAACCATTTTCAGGATCTGGAAACTAATGAAGAACAAGCAGTACATTTAAAAACATTTAATCTTTAAAAGTTTCTAAAGTTCAGAAGTAAATAGAGCAAGCACTGTGGACTTCTTACATGGGACTGCTCCTGTCTCTCTCATCTGTGAGAACTTAGTTTCATCAGGAAAAGGCTGGCTGGAAAATCATCAGCTTTGCTGCCACAAGGGGTAGACTTAAATGGGAGTAGGGGTTAAAATCTGTAGCTTTGTCAGGTAAAAAATGACCAACTTAGTAGAAAATAAATGAGAAACCCTAGTCAGAAATGTTAAAGTGAGATACTGAAACTGAAAGCAAGATAAAAGGATTAAATAAGCGTTCCACACATCCCTAGCTGATTGGGAAACTGGGCACATGTGCAGGAAAGATCAGAGAGAGCCCAGTGGAAGGTAAAATCCAAAGACGACTGAGAAATGGCTGACTTTGAAGGTACTCCCAACCCACACACAGAGCAATTGGCAGAGGGTAGAAGCCTTCGATACTTGAGGTGTTTGAGCATAAGTTCTGCTGAGCACTAAGCTATGCAGACACAGGGACAAGCACCAGGAAATGAGCTTTAAAAAATAAAAATAAGAACTAAAAATTTGAGCAGAGATATCCACAGCATACTGCAGGGAGATACATTCTGTGGTATAATTCAGGAAAGTTACTTTAGAAAAAAGTCTCAAAAAAGTAAATCAGAATCCAAAGTTGCTACAACATATTATCCAAACTGTCATTAACAAGAACAAAATTATGTTATGTAAAGGAAACGTGTTTAAAAAGCAATCAATATAAACTAACTTTGAATGAGCCCAGATACTAGATTGAACAAAGAGTTGAAAATGGCTATAAATTACTTCAAAGAATTAAAATAAAGATGTTCAAAGATTAATAGAAAATATGATGACAACAACTCAACAAATAAAGACTCACAACAGAAACTAAAGCTATAAAAAACAAATGGAAATTCTGGAGTTGAAAACAGATCAATAGAAATTATCCAGTCTGGAGAGTGAGGAAAAAAGCACTAGAGAAGTGGACCATAGCAGAACAGAGTCTGGTCCCAAGAGTCAAAAGCATCAGCAGGCAGAAGGAAAAGTAATCTAAACCCGAACTGAATAACTTCTCAATTATACACCTTTTAGTCATTTGTGAAATGGGGATAATAGTACTTACACCTCACAGAATTGACATGAGGATAAATGTCAATTCCTGGTATATTGCAAACACATGATAATTGCTAGCTGCTATCATCATCATCATCATCACTGACATTTTACTAAGGGAAAAAAATCATGGCTGGCTGGCCCTGGGCCCAAAAATTCCTAAGGAAACGCTCCTACCTATTATGGGGAAAGCACCTATAGACAGCTGGGTAGAAGGCAAATAAATCATAATTGCTAATGGATGAAAACAATATAGCTATCAGTTCTTTGGCCCCCCTCCCCCATTGCCTCAACAAATATCTTCTAGTTGCTTCATAATGGTACAATTACTTTGACATTTCTGGTCATACTTTATTTTTAAAGTATTTATTCTTTTGAAAATTCTTCAAATGTTTCCACATGAGTGGGAAAATCTAGATAAATGTTTTGCTGTAGATATTCATAACTAGATCTAGAAATAACTTTAATGTTTGTCTCCTAATAAGCCTTCCTTTGATATGTGTTAATGCTAAGCGTAGGGGACCTGTAATTAGACTGAAGATCTGAATCACATAATATGAAAAATAAGAGTTGGCAAAACATGACACAGATTTTGCTAAAACAAGATAACTGGCAAGCCAGCTTCTCCAACTTAAGGGAAATTACAAAGGTTAATCTAAAGAGACTCCACTTCCCACCAACGTATTTATCTATTTCACTTTTATTAATACTCACTCTGTTTTTGGAACAGCTTTTCTCAGCCAGAAGAAATCAGACTGTGCTAAATACTTGCGGGTTTGCAGGATGTTGCCAAAGTAGTCAGATTCTGAAAACTTGATCTGAAGAAAACAAACCACAACATCATTGTTCTAAGTGAAGATAAGTGATGGCTCTAAAAAAGGACTCCAGCACACGGAGAAGCAACTGGCAGAGGAGCTGCGGCCCTCACCCTCTCTCTCAGCCGTCACCAGTTAACCCAGATTCACAAAGTCATGAAATTTAATCTCAGTGATTTTTTTAATGTAAAAAGCTCAAAAATCAATATAATAATTTCTAAATCACAATAAAACAAAACAAGGCAAAAAAAAAGCAAGAGAAGCTGCAGTTATTTACAACACATTCCATTTACTTTATAATGAAAAATCTACTTTAACCTTTACAGAGCATATTATTTTAGGTCTGAAATTTCTTGATTCACATGTCCTTAATCTTTTCTTAAATGTGTACTTTATTTGTCATATAAGATTCTTTTATTAACATTCAGTTTAGTCGCTGAAATCTCATTTCACTTATAGATGACGATTTAGTCAAATATTAAAATCCAATTTACTGTAATCTGCATTTGTTCAGAAAGGAAAAAATATGAAAGTGATTCATAGACCTATTTTCTACCCTAAGCACAATGAAATCACAGAATAATTTAATGATTAACACTCAAAAAAAGGCTTTGGTCACCAATATTAATGAAATTACAGAAGTAAATCATAGATTATAGCTTACATGGGAACACAAGAAGTTGGTAGCTCACAATGACATTGTCTATTTAAGAGAACAGGCATAATTAATTAGAGTTTCTTTACCTTTTTGGAATGGGAATGGCAGATTGTTTTAATTCTACAAGTATCCTATGTACAAAAATTAGAAATACTTAGCCTAGATATTGTAAATAAGATCTATATAGCCATAAAACAATAATTTGTAGTTATCTAATGCTTTAAACTATATTACTGTGGCAAATAAGAAAAACACACTAGAATAAACAAATGACCAAAAGTAAATTCTTATTAGCTGTGATTTTTGATAACTTAAACCATAGTGGTTTTTAAATTTTTTATTTATTGATTGATTTGTTTGTCTCTTAGCAACAGAGTCTCACTCTGTCACTTAGGTTAGAGTGCAGTGAACTTTAAAAGAAAAAATTAAAATATGCACAAATATGAAGCCTACAGGACTGCATTATAGATATGAATGTATATATATACAATTTGGTGGTTATAGACTTGACAGTCATCTATTTGTTGGCCAATGTCTGACTCATATTTAGCTCCTTCCCAACACAGAGTGGGCACTCATTATGGCTGTGGAAAAACTTTTGTGAATGAGTCATTTTAACAATCTTTCCAGGGGGCCGGGCCAAAATATAAAGAAAGGAGTAAAATAACTTAAGGCATATGGGGAAAGGCAGGAATGAAAGTATTGATCCCTGGCATTCTTGGTGTTCTGCTTAGCCAACAAATTATAAAGATGTGACTTTAAATTGTCCCTTCCTCAAACTGCTTGGGCAAGGGAGTGAGAGCTAGTAAATAAATTGCAGTATATTCACATAATGGAAAAACAATACAGCAGCTTAAATGATTGTTCTGTATGCATGAACATGAAATTATCTTTAAAATTATGCTGAGTGAATAAGGCAAGTTGTATGTATGAGAAAATGTAAAGTTTTAAAACATGCAAAGCAATACTGTATGTTGTTTATGAACACATACCTATGTGGCAAAGCATAAAGAAATGCATGGGAATGATACGACTGATCTCAAGATAGTGAAGATAGTGTTTCTATCCAGGGAAGAAGACAGGCACAGAGGAAAGAGATTAGATCAAATTTACACCAAATTTCAAATGCATCTGTTTTATTCATTTAAAATATGCACCTGCATGTATAATGCTGACACAGCAATATGTTTAATATTTATTAAAGACAGAGATATTCAAAATATTATTTTACATACTGTTCTGATGTTTGAAATGCTTCATAGTAAAAAGAAATATTAGAATCAATTGTATTTTAAGATATAGGTTTTCTCTTGGCCTCAGAAGAACCAGTAATCATCTTGTTTTAGGAAGCAACCTTAACTAGCAATCCTAAGGCATTCCGGGATTGCATGGCTAAAAGATGTGTCCATTTTTCAACCTTTAGCCTTTTCAGCTTTTTTTGCCAAAATAGCTCTGGCAGAACCTTCAGAATATGATCGTAACTGATAGAAAATTCAGGTACATTCTTAGGTTCAGAACACTTTCTGGAAAATTCTCCCAAAACAATTTTCTTCAAAAATATAAACTTTGCTATTGGTAATATCAATGGGGTCAGTTTTTTAGAAGAGTTCACCAATTATGATATTTTCCTGTTCCATCTGAAAAGAAAAATAACAACAAAAAAGCCTTGACATTCAGGCTGGTCTATAGATATTAAATAGAAAACCATTCCAAAACTTTCTAAAAAGGAAAAGAATCCCAAGTCTAAGAATACTTTAAATAAATAAGGTCCTACCACAGCCATGGGGAGCAAAACTCAGAGGTAAGTAACTACAATTTGTCACAGCTTATCTATGTTTAGAAGGATAAAGTTTAAACTGTTTTAATTATTAAATTGAGAATATTTGTTATTTCTTAGCCTGGTTTAATTGACCTATTCCATTTATTTAATGGAAATCACAAATAATAGGGGATGAATATTAATTTTGCCACTGAGACAGGTTAAGTAGGGGTAGAAAGGATTCAGTCACTGTTATTCTCACACGATAGATGGGTAACAGGGCTAAAGAGCTGATGGAACTGAGCAAAGCCACACAGCCCAAGTCATTTGGCTCTTACTTCTATGTTATTTCATTGGTCCTAATAAAAGAACCAGTGATTCAACCAAAAGAACACAGGAAAGAAGGAGAAGATAAGACTGGGGATGAGACCAGAAGCAGTGATTAAATAAATTACGGTATAGTTTACTTAATGAAATATTGTACAGCTGTTAAAACAGTGGTAATAAAGGTTATGGAAGACAGTGACAATACAGTACAACATGTTAACTATAAAGATCAGTATATGAAATTATATACAAACATCAATTAAAGCTATACAGAAATAATGAAAAACACAGTAACACTCTAAAGAAGTATGTATTATGTTCATGTACCAATATTATAAGTGCTTTTTCTCTATTTCCGAATTTTTCTGCCATGTGGTAATACTTTGTTAATTTCAAATACTTCAAAAGGCCCTTGAGTGAGATAAATTGAAGCCTAGCAACCACTAGAAAAGTTCTATTTGTTGTAGACATATCAACAAGAGTGAATGCACATGACTATTTTAAAGTCACTTGTAATCTCCAAAAAAATATTTAAACTCTAGCAAGGGACAATAATTGGCTCAAAAGCCTCTTGTCCTCTCAGTTACTGGAAAAAAATCTAGGTCAAGTTGATAATGACTTTCAATCGATTCCATCTCTTGACTTTTCGATTGAATGACCTTTGGAGTATTAATTGGGACTCTCATGTCATTTCCTAGGAACAGCTGTCCACATCATAAAATTCAGGAGAACCTGCATTTCTCTTCTTGGAAATCCTGTCCCAGATGCCAAACACCAAATGACACAGATTAAATGGAAGAATAAAGTTAATAACACCCCGCTACAAAGATGGGGAACACGTAACAAAGACAGAACAAGGAAATGTGTTTAGCTTCTCTTTAGGATGAGTAAGTACACATTTATGAGACACTACATATGCCAGTAGGAAGTATAAATTCTAGGATACTTTTTACTTAACTTAAATCCATTCTGAGATACTCAGAGATATATCCAAATATCTATAAGAAAGATTTTATGTTAGGCATCCAAAGAATTTTCGGAATACTTAACGGAATCCAGATTTTATACCACCATTTTTTCTCATCCAAACAACAGAGCAATATGCAAGATTGGTGTGTTTAGATGGCTTTGCCCATAAGTAACACGTGTGTATACATATACAGAGGGTGCCAAAAATGTATGTACATTTTAAGAAAAGAAAAAATTGTATTAAAATTGTAATACTCAATATATACTGATAACAAAAGATGAACACGTCACATTTGACTTCTGAAATTGCAAGAGGTGCTCAAAGTGGTTACCATCAGTGTCCAGACACTTCTCTTCCGATTACAGCAAACTTAAAGTAATATATAGATAACATCTCTTAAAATGTGCAAACATTGTTTTTGGCACTCCTTGTATACATACCTGTGTACAGTTGTGATGTTCAAAATGCTTAAAAATCTGCATCTATACCATGGAAGATGCAGTTCTCATAAGCAGCTACATGAGGGTAAATCTAAAGGAGTGCCAGTCAGCACACCAGTCCTGGAACCAGATGTCTCGTCTCCATGTTGGGGCTGGGAGTGGCCTTGGTCTGCTCTCACCATTGGAACACTCCAGATGGAGGCAAGTGTGAGAGTTATTAAGGCCTGGCTAGAGGGTTGGGGAGCACCAGGGTGCCCCCTCCAGTGCCCACTTTTAGCTCTCGAGTGCCTTGGTGGCCAGGAGCTACTTGAGAGAATTGGGGAAAATGTTTTGTTGTTTTATTATCAAATAACACAGAATTAATGTAATATTTTAACAACCTTTCTAGAGCATTCCATTTGAATATCACCTCACTCTTGTATAGTGGCACTTTGTCATTTATACATACATACACACACACACACACACACACACACACACACACAACACACACATAAGTGTTCCACTGACCAGCGCAGACCAAGATCCACCCCAGATAATGTTATGTGGGTACACGAAACATCTATGTATTCTTATATGCACGTTTATATGTATATATGTGTGTATTACTCACCAGAAACATTGACCTCTTAAAAAATTACTCATTTCCAATTCTCCTTGGTAAATGGAGGTCAGCCATAATTCTGACTTTAGTCCCTACTGCAATTCTCCACTGGCTTTCACAAGAATGAGTAAAGTACTTAACTGTGCCGGTTATTTATCTATAGTCTTTGAGCTACATGCCCACCCTTTTTTGCTCTATTTTAGTAAACTGGGGACTGGGAATCTGAAAAGTCTGTTTCCCAGCCTCCTTTGCCTATTGGCTTCCTGCCAATAGGAGACACTGGGAAACAATAACAGTAGGAAAATCTTCAGTCCCTCCCCACAGCTCAGCTTTGAAGGGACAATTTCTCCTCTACTCTCCTAAGTGAGGGTAACATCACCTTCTCCCTTCTGTGCCCCTAGGGTACAGGGATGGCAGCTGCTTCCTAAACTTACTAATCTGTGGGTTATCTCATCTTCTGGGGTTTTTTTGTTTGTTTGTTTGGTTTGGTTTGGTCTTTTTGTTTGTTTTTTGTTTTGTTTTTTGCCTTCCAACCTATTGCCGTATTAAATCCCTTGTTTGAAATACTTGAAACACTTTGCTTTCCTGGCTGATACAGCAATCTTTCCAAAATTGGAAGAAACTCACTCTTGAGTCTATTTCCCAAGAATCAATGAGCCAGTCTGTTATCCCAGCACTTTAGGAGGCCAAGGTGAGAGGATTGCCTGAGTCCAGGGGTTTGAGATCAGCCTGGGCAACTTGGTGGGACCTTGTCTCTACAATAAATTAAAAAATTAGCCAGGTGTGGTGGCTTATGCCTGTAGTTCCAGCTACTCAAAAGGCTGAGGTGGAAGGATCACCTGAGCTCAGCATGTCGAGGTTGCAGTGGCGGTGAGTGTGCCACTGCACTCCAGCCTGGGCAACAGAGTGAGATCCGACTCAAAAAAAAAAAAAAAAACAATCAATGAAATGGAATACTTTATAAGATTTCAAAATGGACTGATGCCTACCTTTTTAGACTAATTAAGAGACTTTCCTGTTGATATGGGTTCAAATAAAGGGCATTTTATTTCTTCTTGGTCTTTTCAAAAACCACAGGATTGTCATTCAGAAACGCTTTGCTGGGTATCTCAGTTTACCTTATCATCCTCAAGGAAAAAACAATTTTCTCTGATTCTTTCTCGTATTTGCCTCTCAATTCTTTTTCATTTGCTCTTATCTCAACATGAGCCCAACTTCAGTTTTCAATCTATCTCCTTGACCTCCATCTGATCCATCGCCTAATCTCTCTCCTCTTTGCTTTTGCATTTGTATCTTCACCTGTGTCAAATGTAGCCAGCTGTTTTTCATTTGTAGCAACCTCTTATACTCAGAGCTTGTATTAATAGAAATTTCTCATAGGCCCTATAGTAGTCCTTATCTACATGATTCTTAAAACTGAAAACACCCTCCCATTGTGTACCAGAGATACCTCAGTCCTTTGCTATTACCCTCAGTGTCACTATTGCAATCTGTCATTTCATTCTTTGCCTTTTTTCAGGTTGGATTTTATTCATTTTCTCTGTTTCTGAATATGAATGTCTTTTTACTTCAAGTATTTGGAATTTTTTTACCATCAGTTTTTTGGGTTTTTTTTTGTTTGTTTGTTTTGTTTTGAGTTGGAGTCTCACTCTGTCGCCCAGACTGGAGTGCAGTGGCCGCTCCCAGCCACCGCAGCCTCGACCTGCTGGGCTCTGGTGATCCTTCCACCTCAGCCTTCCAAGTAGCCGGAATTACAGGCATGCGCTACCACACCCGGCTGATTTTTTTTTTTTTTTTTATTTATTGTAGAGATGAGGTCTCGCTGCCCAGGCGGGTCTCGAACCCGCGGGCTCAGGCAATCCACTCACCTCAGCCTCCCAAAGGCGCGGGATTACAGGCTGAGCCACCGAGCCCGGCTTCCATCAGTTTTTTTAAACTGTTAAAACTCTTGGGTGTAATTGTGTCTGCTTTGGCAATGAGTCCGATGAAAGGCATTCTTCACAGAAGTGATTAAAAATCTTGGTGTCTAATGGCTTCAGTTCAGGCCCTGGAGAAACGAAGTAGCATATCCAACATGGCATTCTGCTTGGCAGCTGGCTTCTTTTCTCAAAAGATACTGCATTCAGTGAGTCCTTAAATTTGGGGCTCTCGACTTGGACAGCAACAGACTGCCAACAGAACTTGATCAACTAAATACTGAGTAAGCCCTGAATGCTACCTTATTTGATTAAAACTTGGGACTGCTCCATCTGTATAAACGTTTATATCAATTTGAGGGGCCTGGATACTGCATGAGTTAATTCATGATGACTTTTCCAAACCAAAATAATCTACTATCGTAAGTGTGAATTGAGGATGTCATAGCTAACACTTACATTGTGCTCATTGTGTATCAGGGCTAGTTCTAAGCACTTTAAATATGTGCACTTACTTGATGCTCACAGCAATCCTATATGGAAGGGAGTATCATCATCTGCATTCTGCAGGTAAAGAAACCGAGGCACAGAGAGGACACAGAATTCACCCTCGGTCACACAGGTAGTAAGCGGCAGACTGGGGATTTCATTCCAGTCACGTTGACTCCAAGGTCCATGTTCATAACCACTATAACAAAATGTTTCTTAAACCTTCCCTTTCACATCCTGACTTGGAATGTATACCAATCATGTGGAATTACCCAGGGTCTCCAGCTAAGGTACTTTGTGCCCTGGTGATGCTCTTCTTAGCAACAGTTCTCATGCTGATCCACAAAGCTACAAATTATAGGGAGGCTATTCTATGCCAAACATGATAATAGGTGCTTTTACATTTATATAATCTCATCTAATCTTCCCAACAATACTAAGACTTGATTGTTTTTTCTAACATCTGGATAACCAAAGGGAAGCTAACTGAAGTTAAGTAACCTGCAAAAGATCAAACAACTAGTAAGCAGAAGTGGCAAAATTCAAACCCAGACCCATGACTCTGGAGCCTGTGCTCCTAACTTCTTGACAAAATTGACTCCATTCTGCTCTTCTTCCCAGCAGCTGTTTAAGGTAGCCACCACCAAGTCTCTACCCCAACTCCTCTGTTCCTCGAGTACAGTTACCTGACAAGGATTCTCAAGAACTCCTTCTCTGATGACAGGCAGAACTTCCTGAGCCCAAATTTTAGTCCTGACTCTGAAACTCTGTGGCACTAAAGAGATTGCTTAACTTCTTTGGGTCTCTATGTCCTTTTCTGCAAAGAATGGGAATAAACACCATCTACTGCACAGGATCAATGTGGGAATTAAAAGATATGTGCATGAAAGTATCAAGCACTTCAGAATTTTAATTACCATAATAATAATGGGATTTTCAGCATCATCAAAATTGTATATAATAAGATAGAACATCTGAGCTTTAGGATACTGAGAGGCATAAGTATTTTCTTCCAGAGCAACTGGATCAATATTTTTGGGGGCCATATCTTAAAGCCCAGTGGAGAAAGTTTCTAATTAATGCTTTCTCCCATTTGTTAAAGGTCTTGTAAAATTCTGATACTCATCTACAAAGATGGGATTGCTTTAAAATATGCCACTTGTTGATTCACAATTTCAGGAATTATCTCCACCTCAGAACCATAGTTATTTTAAAAACTTCAAAAGATTACTTTTTGAAGAAAATCTGGTGAATGGTAAGAACAGGATTTTTTTGTGAGGAAGCAAAATTCTTTGTTGAAACTATTTGTAGGAAAGGAAATCACAGTGCTTGTGATTTTAAAAACCTATTAATTAATATATCTACGAGAAAATACAGGTCCCAAAATATTGGAATAAAAAAGAATTATTACTATGCCTCATCAGCAACTTATTGCAAATATATAGTTCAACTCACAATAAATTATAGAGTCATATGTATATGCACTCAATTTGCCAAAACACTCATAAAGTTTAATGAAGTTTACTCCCAGCAGGCAGACTTATTACTATTCATCTAATATGAATGAAGCAAATAAAAAGTGTTTAACAACAAACATGATGTGTTCGCCATTAGAACATGCCCACTAATTGTAAAATACTCAATTTGCTTAATTCTTTCTTTTATGATCAAATTAGGCCAAATCCAAGTCCATTTGCTTTATGGTGCCCATTCAGTCACGCATTCTTTCTGACACTTTCTTTATTTTAAATCTGCTCTAAATCTTGTGATATACCTGGCATATTCAGGACCATATCTAGCCAAGGAATTAATCAAAAGTTGGTGCTTTCTGGCACCACCAGGTTTAATTGCTTGGACGTGGGTTAGCTAAAAGGCATGAGGCCAGTAAAACTTGCCAGAAAAAAAAAAATACAGTAAATTTAGCACTTACTGCCTTGAGGTCTTCATTAACATGAGTATCATTCATTATAAACTCAGGATAGCCAACTTTTGCCAAAACAGCTCTTGCCTATAAAAAGGAAAAAGAAAATGATGTCAGAGTTCCAGCACTTAAATCATTAATAATCACAGGATGTAGGAATGCAACCTTCATCTGAAAACTCCGTTTACTGAACATCTACTATATGCAAGCACTGTGGAGGGCAAAAAGTAATAATAATAAGTTAGTTGTTGCCCTCAATATACTAAAAACGTAATGAAGGTAGCAAATAACTGTCCAGTGCAAAATAAAAAAAGAAAAATTTTAGTGGAAATAGACAATATTGTTATCAAAGTCCAGAGCAGAGACTATTGTTTTAATAGGGAAAATGCTTAATGGACATGACCAAATAATGTCTTAGAGAACGGCTAGGATTTCAAAATACAGAGCTGAGACAAAGAACATTCCAGTAGAGGAAACAGCAGGGGCAAAGACAGGGAGGAAAAAAAATATCTGCAAGACATACATCTGCCAAGGGATTAATATATAAAATATATTTTAAAAACTCAACTCAATAGCAGGAAAGCAAATAACCTGATTAAAAAATGGAAAGAGGCTATAAAAAGAAGACATACAAATGTCCAACTAATATATTAAAAATGCTCAGCATCACTAATCATCAGGAAAATGAAAATTAAAACCACAATGAGATATCACCTCACACCAAATAGAAGAGCTATGATCAAGACAAGAGATAATAAGCGCTGGCAAGTGTGTGGAGCACAGGGAACCCTTGCTCACTGTTGGTAGGAATGTAAGTTGGTGTAGTCACAATGAAAAACTCCATGGAGGTTTCTCAAAAATTAAAAATAGAAGTGCCATACAATGCAGTAATCCCACTGCTGGGTATATATCCACAAGATATGAAATCAGTATGTTGAGGTGCTATCAGCACCTCCATGCTCATTGCAGCACTATTCAAAATAGCCAAGATATAGAATCAACCTAAGTGTCTATCAATGGATGAACGGATTTTTTAAATATGATGTATATACATTATGGAATACTATTCAGCTTTTAAAAAGAAGAAAATCCTGCCATTTGCAACAACATGGATGAAACTGGAGGTCATTATGTTAGGTGAAATAAGCCAGAAACAGAAAGGCAAATACCATGATCTCATCCATATGTGGAATCTAAAAAAAGTCAAACTCATAGAAGCAGAGAGTACAAGGGTGGTACCAGGGGCTGGAAGATGGGATTGGAGAAATGTTGGTCAAAGGATACAAAATTTCAGTTAGACAGGGGCAATTCGTTTAGATCTATTGTATAGCATAGTGACTATAGTTAATAACAATGTACTATATACTTGAAAATTGCTAAAAGAATAGATTTTAAATGTTCTTACCACAAAAATGATAAATATATGAAGTAATGGATATGTTCATTATCGTTATGTACCCATTCTATGATGTATGCATATGTCAACATCATGTTGTACACTATAAATACATATGTTGTATTTGTCAGTGTAAATAAATAAAAATGAAAAATACAGAGAGACAGGAAACACATGGCATATTGGAGAGATAGCATATAATTTAATGAAGCTGGTCTATAAACACATAAGGGTGGAGAGCAGAAAACAATGCAGGAAAATCGGCTTGGGGTCAGATCACAGGAATTTCTGAATGCCATGCTAATGAGTCTATATTCTATTTTACAGCTAAGAGAGAGCGAAATATGTTTAGCAGGGGAGTAAAAGAAGATGAGTCATGCTTCAGGAAAATTATCCTTGTAACATTGTGAATGACAGCCAAGATGCCAGAAAGACCAGAGACGGGCGTCTAGAATAATTTAAGATGTGGTTTAATGGCATAACCATCCTTCTGATACACACAGTTGCTAATTATCCTCTGTGTTTTGCTGCATATAGGGAATGGACAAAATAAAATCACCCTAAACACATATAAGGAACCTCCAGAGCAAGGATTGGCAAAATACGGCCCCTGGGCTAAATCCAACCACCCTCTTCTACCTGCTTTTATTTTTATTTATTTTATTGTATTGTATTTTTTACTCTATTATAAAGATGTGGGGTATAAGTCAGGATTAGGTACATAAGCAATGTATATGCAAGTGAAGTTTGGGCCTCCAATTGATCCTTACTTCCCCTGGTTTAGGATCAGGTGCCCTTTGTGTTATTATGTGCCCCCCATTTCCTCCCTCCCCTGCAGTGTCCCACGACTGCTGATCCCTCCCTTGTGCTATTGCTCCACCTGTTTTTAAAAATAAAGTTTCACTGGAACACAGCCACACCCATTTACTTATCTATTATCTATGGCCGCTTTTGCACTACAACTGTTGAATAGTCAGGACAGAAACCCTGTGGCCCACAAAGCCTCAAATATTTTATCTGGCCCTTTCTAGTTTCTCAGTGCTCTCTTTAGAAAAACTGTACAGTTCTATGTGAAAATGTCTGTCTCCTTTCCCCAGATTCTGCATTTCACCAAAGCAAAAGAGAAACTTACAAATACGCTATATTATCGGGGTTCTGATCAGATCCCCTGGGATCCCTTTCATCACTTTTATACATCCCTCCCCAGCATCTATGTTCTTTTCCAATGGTCAGCACCTGAGACTCTTTGAAGGCCTGCCCTAGGGCTAGTATAGCTCCTTGCCTTTGCTCCAAAGCAGCTAGTTCCTGAGAGTTTGCCTTCTACCCACCCTACCTCCACCTCCACCCAGGTCGATTTTAGCCATTAACTGACTATTGCAGGAGTATGAAAGCCCAGCTCCCTTGCCTCAATTCAGGACAAACTCTGAGATATAATTTGCACTTCCAGGGTTGCCTGTGGGATCAGACTCTGAGATGTCCCCTAAAACTGCACCCTCGCCTGCCTTTCTCTCCTCCCAGTCGTGCTTCTCCCATCCCTTGCTGGTTTCTCTTGTTAGTTTTTGCTTAATAAAGCACTTGCATAAAAATTCTCATCTCCAGATCTGCCTTCAGATGACCCAGCATAAGACCCAGAAAACCCTAAACACGTTGGTTTTATTTCAGCAAAACTGCAAAGCAAAACTAGTGACCTTTGGATACCGCTCTTGGTAGCAAGTTCTTTCCTTTAATCCCTTTCAATTTTCCTCACTCAAGAAATAAATAGAATAAGATAGTACATTTTCCTTATCTTCCTTAAGATAATTCAAATATTAAATATCAGCAGAAACCTGAAACTCAAGACTCATAGAGGATTTTACAAGTGCCGTAGGACACAGTCATAATGGGTTTTGCTATTCCAGAGACTCAAATATAGCACAGATCAAATTATGCCTTCAAAACCTTGTGAATTACACACTAAAAGCCTGATGTGACCCAGATAGCAGATAACTAGAGGTTACAACTCTCCCCCCAACACCAAACAATATGTTATATGTCTATAGGTTACCTCATTCTGAGGTTATTCTATTATTTCCTTCATAGTATTTAATTTCTCGCTGTATTTTATCAGCTCACCATAAGTCCTATGCATAGCTATATCAAATAAAGAACTCTAGATAGTCCCTACCCCCAAAAAAAATAAAGAAAGAAAAAGAAAAAAGAGAAACATACAAGCTGAGTCATTCACAATTATTTTCTGAAGACTGGTCTTTCTGGAGCATGCTGGTGAATTATGCATTGCTTTTCAAACGTCATGCTCTGGGACTCCCCACTGCACTACAGAGCCTCACAGAATATATTAGCTTTTGCACCATGTATGCAGGTTGTTGAATCTTTTATTATTTATTTAGCACCACCATGATTTGAAGAAAATCAGAACAGAGATACAAAGAATCCCTATATACCTCCCAAAGATACATAGCTAAAAGAAGGTAATAATATTGCTAACAACATTGCTAACATCTGAATAGAGTGCTCCTCTTTCCAAAATACACCATGTATATATGCCTCTATTCAGACTCAAATGCTTACTCTGCCAGAGAGTCTGTCATCCCACCCCATTCCATTATATAGTCATCCCTGAAAAGCATCAGAACTATATCTCACAATATCCTATGGGGCATGGCTCCAGGTTAGACTGCTAATGAGAAGCACTCACAGGCAATTCCAACGGGAGAAGACAGGGAGATGACATTTATTTGCTGTTGGTAGCCATAGGCAGACACACGGGCATCTGCAGACAGCAGATAGAATACTTTGCCAGCAACTTACATTCTCCTTAGAAGACTCCCTTTGGTGCACAGACAGTAGAGATCATTAGTAGACTTTGCCCTTCACTTCCCAGCCCTCTGAATGGCCACATAAGTCTCCAATTCCCTGTATTAAACGTCTTCCACCTTGATATACTTAGAAGAGCATCTGTTTTCCTGAATGAACACTAAGGCAAATAGCGATTACATCACTTTTTAATTTTTTCAGAATGGGAGAAGTGAAGCACCTATAGTTTGATGATTTGAAAGACACCGTGATAGTGAGTTAGGTCTGACATAAATTACCCCATTGGTTACATGAACAAAAAGGAAAGACAAGTCCATCTGAAAATGTTGAGAGAACAGTGGAATAAATATTTAACAAACTGCATATCATATCCTGCAAGTAATATTTCCTAGGCTGTTTATGGGTGACCAAAGCTCCAGGATTTTCCATAAACAGTGCATGTATTTTCATCCCTTATTCATACATCTGTAAAGGAGTTGAACTTGACAACTGGACATCCTTCCTCAATGGAGGAGACTCAAGCAGCTGCTGATCTGCACTATCTCTGTGGCTTCAAGCAAAGCACTCAACTTTTTTGAAGCAAACATTTCCTGTTTTCACCAAACATCTATTTTCCCTTTCTTCCCTTACTATCAGTACCCCAATTCTGCTCAGGATGGACCCAACAAAAAGCAGCCATGTTGTTCAGCTTTCTTTACAACTGGAGATGTCTATGGGATACGATTTTGGCCATAGATAAATAACAAAAATTCCTTGTTGCACTTCCAAGAATCCATTTTAAAAGAGGGGGAAACTTGGCATGTGCTATCTGCCTTTAGCCTAGAGTTTCTCAACCTCAGCATTACTGACATTTTGGACCAGATAATTTGTGTTGTGA